TAATCGCGGTATTATTTGAAATATCACGGTGGAAACATTAATGTTTTTTACCTCATTCGATCTGCTCGTAATACGCATGAAATCGGTCGAAACTAACTAATCGTACACTGTCTAATCCGGATTAATATCCTGTGCATGATATTTTTATATCGATGTATATCCGTTTCAAATATTATTGGAAGATGATTTTTATAATATTAGCTAACTATTTCACAGGTAACATAGAAAGTTTTTTGTGGAAGAGCCTACATAGAGTAGCCCTACATGACGCGAAAACTTGAGTTTTAATTATACCCTTCTACCGAATTTACACATGTTTCGTGTGTAATGAAGGGGAATGAACGCATATTTTACTGCACTTACTTGCTTTTTTGTAGGGCCTTAAAATTTTGTTGCATTTATTAATTTTGCGAGTCTGTTGTACGTCGGTAAACTCGACCCTATTAATGCATGGAGCTATGCTGCTGCTGACGAAGGTTGCCTGCACTATAAGGAGCGCTCCAGTTACCGATGACGTAAATCGCGACATTTAAGTTGAGATCAAGGCTCATAATTTCATCAAGTTTATGAACCGATAAGCGAATTTAATGTACAATTTTGCTACGTCTGCAATTATGCATCATCGCATTGCTAAGCCTTGAGAGGTTTACATTTTTTATTGCGGCAGGACGACTAAGTACTGGATCGTGTCAATTCGATGCAAAAGTTACTCTTTTCACATCCTTTCTCAACAAAAGTTAAAGAAAGCAATAAATTAAGCAACGTAATTTGACGAAGTTCTTGACTAAGCCATTGCAAAATGAAAACAAAATATATAATGTTAAAACTTTTTAAATGGCGTTTTTATTTATTTTTCCACCAAGCTATTTTATGAGATTTTACTGCTGAATTTTTATAACAGATTTTTGAATATTTCCCCATATTTCTTCATTCCAAGAATTTCGACGCTCGTCCTCATTAATGCAATAATGAATGAACATTGTACCGTATATTGGTAGTCAGTATCCGTACGGCCTTCGTCCCCGCAAAAACCAGCTCTGCCCACGCTCACTACTCTCACCTTCGTTGGCTGATGATCTGTCCTGGAATTTTTACCCTGAACAACCATCACTATTACCCTAAACAGCCGTCGCTAGTATAATTATTTTTATGATCTTCCCGATGCCAAAAAAATTTCCGATAATTTACTGCCCTTGATATTTTTTCTCCCGCTAATTAAAAAAAATACATCCTGTCATTGACATTTTTGTAGCGTACGTTTACTGAGCACTACTATATGTTCAGAAACAAGCTTATGTTTCAGCTGCTCTAAATTGACTTTTATTTATTTCTGCTACTACGTCATGTCGTCATGTAGCAAAAGACATCTAATCTTTGAGTGAAGCCCACAGAAATATTATTAATTGTTAATTTTCCGCCTGTCCCTATGACCTCATTAACTCGTGCAAATGTTTTCAGTATTTTATTGCGTTATTAGAGACATATATTCCTACGTAAAAATAAACCCCTGGGCTCTTAATTTAGTCATATTTGAGGCATGGCTACACTTCCTACCCTCTATAGAAGAGTCAAGCTCGTCAGAAGACCTTGAAGTATTCCAGTTTACTTCAGACCGAGCAGCGTTCCCGTGAAATGTGATGCCTCAAGGTGAAAAAATATACATTTCTATTATTAATTACCTAACGGTCATGGATGCGGAACGAAGTTCACTCCTAAGTTCGGCGTTAATTGTTAAAGATTGAAGCTTATAAGAATAAGTCACGTCTCGTTCTAGCACAAAAAAATGTGTTCTATTTATAAAAGCTGCAAACTAATATTTAAAAAATGTTTTACGGTAAGAAAAATTATTTACCTTATTTATCTGCTTTAAAATTTATACTGCTTGACACAATTGTTATATCTCGTTTTATTTTTGCGAATGATAATAATGATAATTGATGCTTGAAACGACGATTTTTTTGTAAGAAAAACCAATTTAAAACGGTAACGCTTGATCAACAAAATTATATATGAATCATGAAATATTAATTAGTTTGGTATATTACCTCGCATCTCAACCCTACTTGAGATTATAAATTATTATATTAGATTATGATCCAAAAATAGAAAATACAATTGACAGTTGCGACTTTTCAATGATGATCTTGACCTTGTCATCGGCCAGTTCAAAGGAACTTCCCGGAAGCTCTTGACGTTTCTTGTTGCTGCAACGATAAATAAAATGCCACGTCCGCCGTCAATGAGTTATCCGCACTTTGAATATAGGACTTCTGATTATTGTTAAATCTCATTATTTTATTTATAATATGCCTCCTCCGTTGCAAATCTATTTTTCTGAGTAGGTTAAAAAAAATAGAAAGATAAATGTGAGGAGATCCAATTTCATTCTCATTTTATGAGTGCTCTAATGAAGTTATCTACCGGAATTGAAATTGTTCAATCCTCATACGTTTAGACAAAATCGTACATTGAAAACTGCGGGACGAACTTTGCCGTAAAGCTCAACAGAAACAAGTTTGTATTGTTGTTTATTAATTAAACTTTCTGCAAACTCGTGACCAACTTAGTCGCGAAGCTCAACAGAAACTTACTGGTATGATGGTTCTTTATTTGAGTACGGTGGTTAATTTATTTTTTATCATCACTCATCACCAATACTTCAATGGTGAGGAATGTCTAAACTTCCTGCAAACTCGTGACCAACTTAGTCGCAAAGCTCAACAGAAACTTACTGGTATGATGGTTCTTTATTTGAGTATGGTGCTTAATTTATTTGTTATGATCACTCATCACCAATACTTCATTTGTTATGATCGCTCATAACCAATACTTCATTTGTTATGATCACTCATCACCAATACTTCAATTGTTATGATCGCTCATCACCAATACTTCATTTGTTATGATCACTCATCACCAATACTTCATTTGTTATGATCACTCATCACCAATACTTCAATGGTGAGGAATGTCGGCAGTCGGCGAGATCCTGTGCGTCTGAGGGACGCACCTCACAGACCCTGACTTTTCCGACCAAGGACGCCAGCGTCGCGGCGCTTCAGGAAGAGACGCGCGCCTGCCTGCCGCACACGCCCGTCCCGACCTCCACACTCACAGAAATGAGCGAGACTTTGTCAAAATTAGTGATGCATGTTTTGCGCTTGTATGGGTCACTACCCGACTTCCACACTCAGAGAAATGAGCGAGACTTTGTCCAAATTAGTGATGCATGTTTTGCTCTTGTATGGATATTTCTGACCCGGTATGGGCCTACGTCCTCTACGTTGCTAGTGCTGTGCGTACTAAAGTGCCGCTGTTTGGACAATATGATCCATTAATTTTTCTTGAGTGCAAGCGACGCTCGTGGCTATAGCTGCATCCGTGGCAAAGAGTGTCCCACGTGCACTATACATCTAACATTGAATTAACGTTGATTAAATGTCCAAATTAGTGATGCATGTTTTGCGCTTGCATGGGTCACTACCCGACTTCCACACTCAGAGAAATTAGCGAGACTTTGTCCAAATTAGTGATTCATGTTTTGCTCTTGTATGGATATTTCTGACCCGGTATGGGCCTACGTCCTCTACGTTGCTAGTGCTGTGCGTACTAAAGTGTCGCTGTTTGGACTATATGATCCATTGTTTTGTCTTGAGTGCAAGCGATGCTCGTGGCTATAGCTGCATCCGTGGCAGGGAGTGTCCCACTATACATCTAACATTGAATTAACGTTGATTAAAACTTTGTCCAATCGACGTTAATTAATTAAACGTTGTTAGACTGTAAGAGTATAACTAACTAAAAAAAATACTTAATAAATATCATGTCATATGAACAGCGAGATTAAATTCCGCATGATCGACAACAACTAAATGCTTGATTACTGTACAAACATTCATATTATAAGCAATTCTGTCACGGCTCCGATATAAACAAAATTATTACGTTGGATGTTTTCTATTATAGAAGTGAATGGAAATCTCAGCGAAAGATGAATATTTTTCATCGGAATCGATAATTTTTTAACTATTTTGCGTTGAATTAGGCTTAAATTTGTGAAAACTCGAGCACGTTTTGTCACTGCAACAAGATATGTTAATGGTGATTTAATTCATTAATACCAGATTATTGATTACGATCAATATTCTGTTATTCTCTATTGTGACGATCAAGTCTTCTTTGTTTATGTATTGTTACGGCAATCTCATTAAGATGTAGCCAGCGATCTGTGTTGCGTCGAAACTGATTAGCTTGACAGGAACAGTTGTAAGAATTAAAACAACAATGTTTCTGATTAACTTGCAAGGAACAGTTGTATGGATCAAAAGAACAATGTTTCCTAGTTTGTGAATTACTCTACTGACTTGCCAATGAAACTGACTGACTTGCCAATGCCTGAATTTTTCAGTTCTTTTCCCTTGTGTTGTCGAAGTATTTATTTTTTGGTATCATTGATTGAATCGAAGTATCGTTGGTTGAATTTTGGTGACGAACAGCTTAAAAGACTCGATTCTCTCGACGCAAAATAGAGATCTATACATCGCCGCACTGAGAATAACCTGACAACGCACAGCTTTAATAATAATTAACACAATTCTGGTGTATAAAAGTACATCGCAGCATAAGTCACTATTACCGATTGCCGTTAATACGGCTGTGTTCGTCTTGGTAAGAATCATGGCTGATACCTATTACCGTAAATACGACAGTGTTTGTCTTCTCAGGCATTATGACTGTTACCGATTTCCATTAACTCAGCTGTGTTTGTTTGTCTCGGCAAGAATCATGACTGTTAATTAGTACCATTACCATAACTGCGTTTGTTTGTCTCGGCAAGAATCATGACTGTTAATTAGTACCATTAACATAACTGTATTTGTTTGTCTCGGCAGGAATCATGACTGTTAATTAGTACCATTACCATAACTGCGTTTGTTTGTCTCGGCAGGAATCATGACTGTTACCTATAACCATCAACATAACTGTTTTTGTCTCGGCAGGAATCATGACTGTTACCGTGCTATCGACACCTGAGCGCGCCACAGCAACGATGAGCCTCTACCAGGACCTCAAGCTTAAGCGCAGGAAGGCGGAGAGCAGCAGCAGGTGGGCGACCACTTCGAAATTACGATTAAATTCTTTTTGTTTGGTCCCTCGTTGCCACTAAATTAAATTAACTTAATTTTCTGATAAATGGGTTTGATTTCTTCTGTAATTTTGATCTGTAAAGATCTTCTGTAATTTTGAACGATACGATAGGAAAGTTACTGTACTGGATGCACACTTTTTGTTCGGTTTCCATATTGATTAAAAACATTATTCGACTTCGCAATGTTAATCCCTACAAAACACTCCGTCAAATCGAAAATAAAATATGCATGCCACTAGGAGTTTTTTGGACTCGATTGTCGTTATTACATCACATCCAAAAATCTTTAAACCTGTGTTCTGTTATATTCTCTATGACCTAGCAAATTATATGGTTGATTATGTGCAGCTTTTCTCGGTGCAGTCGCGAGTCCGAGCCTCCTGTCGAGTCGATGGTGGTGGACGCGGGCGCCGTTGAGTCCGTGACAGACTCCCCAGATTCTGGGGTGTCGTCAGGCACCAGCGAAAGCGGTAGTTGTGGCATGTCCATAACGTCCCCGCAGATCACTTCCCCACCCGATTCTCCTCCCCACGGCCGGGAACATTCCCCTATCGGGAGTCATATATCCCCTAGCGCCTCACACCACACCAAGGATGTCACTCACATCAAGATTGAGAGGCCCAGTATACTGGAATCGCATCTGCTTTGTGAGAGGTAGGTCGTAAATAATGTTCATTTTTAATTACGAGTATATTTTTGTGATATTAGTCAATGGTGTTATTCTGTTAAAGCAATAATTATTTCAAATATTTGTTTATTCTATTAATCACAAATGGACTGCAATTTTTCCTATAACCATAAGTAAACTACATGGTTTTTATGTTCCCTATAATTATCCCTTACTTTGCACTTTCTTTTATTAGCTGTTTTTAATTTGTTCCGTTTCATTACCACTCAGACGGTCTCCTGACAGCCCGAGTGAGAAAAACATTGAAGTTTCATGTCGGCTGGAATTCAACCGCGCGGATCAGCCACCGTCGCCCATGTACGGCACAGAAGAGCAGCAGGTTACATCCACTCCAGTTGGTCTTGGCGCCGCACCATCTTTCGACAGGATGACTCCCTCCCCAGCCGCTTCTGCTTCATCCCCTATGTCCCACCACTCGGCAAACACGAGCGTCCCCATCCATGGATCGTCTTTGGGTGCAGGAGGCGTCACCTCGTACAATATGGGCGTCTTTGCCACCACATGCGGCATCTTCAGTAGCGCGAGTGACTCAAATCACACAACGGACGCAAGTTCCAACGGTCTTGTTTCCTCCAGCAGCTACTTGTCGAGAGAACATTCTGTTCTAAGGAACGCAATGACGACGCCTTTCGATTATCAAAGCTCCTTGGAGAAAGCGAGAATCAACGGAATCGTTCCTGAGATCATCCGCGGTGGTGAAATACTCCACAAACACGATCCTAAAGGGATGTCTCGGACTCACAACAACACAACAAACACAGTCATACTCGGGGAAGCGGGAGGTTTCAAAACCATGTTGTGGATCGGAGATAAGCCCAGAGAATCGCTGAACACGCAGTCACCTCACGTTACTCTCAGCAGTGACATACGCAATACAGTAGACGGCATGCTGAGCTTGGGCAGAGTTTCTGCAGCTGGATCGCCCCCATCTTCGGTAGCCCAACAGATTTCGCCCTTCTTCACAAACAGTTTAATTTCTCCGGATAATGGACGTGGTCTCACAAAACAAAGTTCCTCGCCTCCGGGTTTCCGCGCTTCCAAACATCCCACGTCATCTCCAATCCACGTGAGAGAAGATCTCGAAGATTATCGCGTGAAGAAAGTATTTACCGATAACCCCCGACCAATGCCAATCAATATGGAGAGGCTCTGGCAAGGCGACAAGTCTCAGTTGCCCAGTAATTCCTCGGATGCCTTGTCTCCCATGAGTCTGGGCAGCGCAGGCTTCGGTGACCGTAGAGGAGGGCCTTCACCCTCTCCTCCTAACATGTCTTTATCGCTCTGTGGTAACGATAGGCGACCTGTCTTGCAAGATGAAGAAGAAGACGAGACGCTCATCTGCATGATTTGTGAAGACAACGCCACTGGACTACATTATGGCATCATCACATGCGAAGGGTGAGTCTCACGGTGAATTTAGGATCGTAATTGCTACACTCTAAACCAAAACAGAAATACACTGCTTAATGCTTTAACTTTGTCTCGTATATTAAGAAAAGTATTCTGATGCAGGTGCTAATTAACAAGCCTTTAGATATGTCACTTCTATGACGTGTTTTATTATGTTGTATAACTGACATATGCTTGATAATTTTGCAGATGCAAAGGATTCTTCAAGCGCACAGTCCAGAACAAGCGCGTGTACAACTGCGTCGCAGACGGCAACTGTGAGATCAACAAGCAGCAGCGCAACAGATGTCAGTTCTGCCGCTTCCAGAAATGTCTCGATAAAGGCATGGTTCTTGCGGGTGAGTTCATATCCTAAGGCTTTATTAGCAAAATTTTTATGAATTCGTAACTCCGTCAGCCGATAACTGACGGCTTTTCAAGTTAAACTCGCCTACCTTTAAAGAGAAGAGTGATTGGTCGCTACATGTACTTAGGCTGTTCGTAAGTGTTTGATTTATTATTATTTAATGACGAAAATATTATTTAGAGATATTTTCCTGAAAAATAAATTTCTCTGATCAATTTTCACTGTTAACGCTTCTTTGTCCTTTTCTTACAGCTGTCAGAGAAGATCGGATGCCCGGTGGTCGTAATTCTGGTGCAGTGTACAATCTATACAAGGTATGAATATTCATCATTGTGATATTTCATGAATTACAAATTAAACCTGCTCGTCATAAAAAGTAATATTTGTATATATCGCTGTGCAATCTGTCTTCAAATCAATTCGTTAAACTTAGAAAATCTAACGCATTTACATACCTAACATGTGCACACGCCTCTCTCCTTGACGTGAGGAACAAGCAAACAAACATTTTTTTCAAATACATTAAAAAAAAATATATGGATATATTTCTCTTTTTTCAGGTGAAATATAAGAAGAGGAACAAGAACAAGCAACACATGGGGAATAACCGCGCTGTGGGTTACGGGATCCCCGACAGAGGGACCCCTCAGGGACCGCGTCGCTGTAAGGGCCCCTCCTCTCCTGCGGGCGACATGCCCCCGCCCGCCTACATGCCTGCGGCCAGAACATCGCCAACCTCCTCTCAGATGTCACCAACTTCCATGACTTTGCATCAGGTATTTACGAATTTTTAAGCAATAATTCATCTCCGTTTAATATATGAAATAAATTTGACATGAGGCATGTACAAAATATTAAGCAATTTATACGCATTTAGTGTTTGAACTGAATTTTTATTGTGTTCGTACATGATATTTATTACATGTACGGGTATGGATAACAAGGTATTTCAGAATTTAAATCAGTCGCTCTATGACTTTGCATAGCATACACCGTACATACACGTATTTTAACTTGATATTTATGAATGCTATCAACTTATAACAATTATTTATGTTTGATTTACTATAAGTTATCAAAAGCTATTATTTATTTAAATATTTATTTATTACCGGTTACTGTTCTATTATCATCGTTAATGTCACCTATCTTGCCTCTACAGGCTATGGTTTCTGCGGCGAGTGCCGCGCCGACCTCCACCTTGGCGTACAACCGAAATTTTCCCACAAGTTTAGCCCCCGGGACCATTCTGAAGGCGGCTCTAACCAACCCTGCTGAGGTAAAGATCCATTTAATATAGTATTAGCAGGAAATATAAATATTAATTACAGTGTTGCTTTAGAAGCCTGACTAGTATACAGTTGTATAATTATTTTAATGAAGTTACTTCAATTGTAATTCGTGTAAGGCTTCAAGTAGCGTTTTCTTGTCATGTAGTTTTATTATTATTTTAATAAAGTACATCAATTATAATTCGTGTAAGGCTTCAAGTAATATTTTATTGTCATATAGTTTTATTATTATTTTAATGAAGTAGGTACATCAATTGTAATTCGTGTAAGGCTCCGAGTAACGTTTTCTTGTCATGTAGTTTTATTATTATTTTAATAAAGTACATCAATTATAATTCGTGTAAGGCTTCAAGTAACGTTTTCTTGTTATGTGCAGGTCGCGCATTACCGACAACGATCAGAGAGCGCAGTGAGCTTCCCGGTGCGGGACAACAAAGACAGCAAAGACTGAACATGTGCACACGCCTCTCTCCTTGACGTGAGGAACAAGCAAACAAACATTTTTTTCAAATACATTAAAAAAAAATATATGGATATATTTCTCTTTTTTCAGGTGAAATATAAGAAAAGGAACAAGAACAAGCAACACATGGGGAATAACCGCGCTGTGGGTTACGGGATCCCCGACAGAGGGACCCCTCAGGGACCGCGTCGCTGTAAGGGCCCCTCCTCTCCCGCAGGCGACATGCCCCCACCCGCCTACATGCCTGCGGCCAGAACATCGCCAACCTCCTCTCAGATGTCACCAACTTCCATGACTTTGCATCAGGTATTTACGAATTTTTAAGCAATAATTCATCTCCGTTTAATATATGAAATAAATTTGACATGAGGCATGTACAAAATATTAAGCAATTTATACGCATTTAGTGTTTGAACTGAATTTTTATTGTGTTCGTACATGATATTTATTACATGTACGGGTATGGATAACAAGGTATTTCAGAATTTAAATCAGTCGCTCTATGACTTTGCATAGCATACACCGTACATACACGTATTTTAACTTGATATTTATGAATGCTATCAACTTATAACAATTATTTATGTTTGATTTACTATAAGTTATCAAAAGCTATTATTTATTTAAATATTTATTTATTACCGGTTACTGTTCTATTATCATCGTTAATGTCACCTATCTTGCCTCTACAGGCTATGGTTTCTGCGGCGAGTGCCGCGCCGACCTCCACCTTGGCGTACAACCGAAATTTTCCCACAAGTTTAGCCCCCGGGACCATTCTGAAGGCGGCTCTAACCAACCCTGCTGAGGTAAAGATCCATTTAATATAGTATTAGCAGGAAAAATGAATATTAATTACAGTGTTGCTTTAGAAGCCTGACTAGTATACAGTTGTATAATTATTTTAATGAAGTTACTTCAATTGTAATTCGTGTAAGGCTTCAAGTAGCGTTTTCTTGTCATGTAGTTTTATTATTATTTTAATAAAGTACATCAATTATAATTCGTGTAAGGCTTCAAGTAATATTTTATTGTCATATAGTTTTATTATTATTTTAATGAAGTAGGTACATCAATTGTAATTCGTGTAAGGCTCCGAGTAACGTTTTCTTGTCATGTAGTTTTATTATTATTTTAATAAAGTACATCAATTATAATTCGTGTAAGGCTTCAAGTAACGTTTTCTTGTTATGTGCAGGTCGCGCATTACCGACAACGATCAGAGAGCGCAGTGAGCTTCCCGGTGCGGGACAACAAAGACAGCAAAGACTGCCTCATGATGTTCAACGAAATGGAGATGCTCATTAAAGAACTCAGGCAGTACGACCGCTTCCAAGAGTGTGCGCTAATGCAGGTAAAGCAATGACTATTATAATTACTATTATTAGTAATTAATAGTTAATTAATTACCACTAATCCACTATACTACTGACTATTATTAATTATCCAAATAAACTAAAGAGTCGCACATTGTCATTTAAAATTGGGTTATTATAATTAATCAATGACTTGCCTCGATTAATCTTTCACGTCTGTCAAAGATATTATCAATGCGCATTACAGATATTTTATTCAGCTGATTAATTGCACACGCTCTTGTGTTCTAATTTTGAATATGTGCCTGCAGTTACTGCCAGAGTTTAGCGGCCCCGACGACATCACGCCCGAAGACGGCAGAAACCCAATCTTGTACGACGAACCTGAAGAAAATGCAGAAGGATTTTTTGCCGACAAAGTCGCGTGTAATTTGATGCAGTGGGTGAGACACTTGCCGTTCGGGGACGAGTGTGCAGATCATTTGTTGACGTCATCATGTTTTGGCTTGGTTATTTTGAACGCTGCTTTTTATCTTCATCACCAAAAAGGACCAAAACTTATCATACCAACCACAGAATTCTACAATAGAGAACTAATGGAAGAGGTGAGAAGAATGTCTACTTCATAATTCATAAGAAGCACTAATTAAAATATCGTATAAATTATACATGCTCGAAATTCCCGTTTTTTATAGTAGATAATTAAACCTTTTTTTTCATTTCTGGGTATTCTAACTGTATAATTTTTCTATTTTAATATCAAAAGATTATCATAGATTCTATTTTATCATAAAATGGATTTCCTTGTCAGCGATTCGCTGAGTTTGGTTATTAAACAATGATGAGAAATATCAACGAAGTAATAAAGAATTTTTTTAAATGAGATATTGCCATGTCGTAATTTGAATACAATAAATATTGTCGTTCAGCCGTACTTAATCAATATTTTTTATTTACAGATGTCGGCCAACATCAACGCGCTTAAGAAAGGCCTCATGGAGATGAGCCTCTCCAAAGGCCAAACAGATTTTTTGCTTCAGCGATGGGTGCCAATCACTGAAAAATTGTCAGAATTCACGGTATTTTTTGATGCTATTCGCATCGAAGAGCCAGAATTCCTCCTGCTCAAGGCAATAATGTACACAATGAAGGCTAAGCCTGACATGACCAATATTGTCGAGGCTGAGCGATCTTACCGGCAGTGCCTGAGGACTTATTGCCAGATGAAGTGTCCCTCGCAGCCCAACAGAGCCCGTGACCTGCTTAACAAGATGATCGAGGTGCGTATAAGAGTAGAGGTTGTCTGGGGCGCGCGTAACTCCAATAGATTCATGATGTTGCTATCAAGTTTGACGTTAAACTTGATGCTCCAAATATTATTTTCATTATCAAGCCATGAGATACAGCTTGTCAAATTGGTTATGTTATTGCTATCAAGTTTGACGTATAACATAATACTTCAAATATAATGTTTACATCAGGTCATGAGAAAAAGTTTGTTTAAATTGGTTATGTTGTTGCCATCAAGGTTGACGTACAACTTCACGCCCTAACTACGGTGTACACTATGAGATAAAGTTCGCTTAAATGGTTTATGTCTAAATATAAAATTACCTATGTTTAGTAAATTTTAGGTGCGGAAAAATATTTTGTGGCAATGACGAAACCTTTTTCTGCAGATCCTGGACGTGAGCCAAAATCTTCTGTTGTCCGACACCTCGCGGTTGAAGGCGCCGTTTTTCATCTGCGATAACAGATAACGTCAAGGATTACGCAACAGTTAGTCCCAAGCCATCATCATCTGTTGGTTGCAACCTCATCCTCGGCTACGCAATATGGCGATGTTAGTACCTGACTTTTGATCTTGTTCTGATATCGTATCAGCTTCTGACATCGTCATTTATCCGCATCAACCCATCACTTCATTTCACCCAGACTCAATCTCGTCCAACGGCAGCATGAGCCATAGGTCACTCATGAATATATTGTGGTTTGCATCTGAATCTTGACTAAAAATATAATTTTATGTTAATTTCGCGTGAGTACATAAATGTGACATCCATCATGGATGATAGACCAAGATCGCACATAATCATGTGAAGATGTTCAATTTTCATTACCGTAAAAGTGTGAAAGTCGGAATTTTTTACTGTAAGAATGATAATTCAGGAGCCAGAAGTATAGACGGTGCATATGACTGCTTTTGTACTTTTATATACTTTGTAAAAATATAGATTTGAGAAGCAACGTGTTACTGAGCTCTGATGCCGGTCCACTAACCGAGTCCGCTATCTTCTTCAGGCTGAAAGATTTTTGCGTCCACTTCTAGGACCGCCATTAAAGTTGTTCCCGTAGAAGTTTTCATCTCGTTTTTTAATATGTCTTTACGTCCATCAAAAACTGAATACTTATTTTCTGGTCGGTAGATGCGTCAACTAGTTTCTAGGGGACTCAGTGTCCCATAAAAAAAAATCTTCCAGGTGAAAAAATAACTTTCAAAAAATATCACGAATTTTGTAACTTTTTTTTTACTAGTCTCTGACTTGAGCATTTCACAGTCTTGCTGAGCAAGGTTTCCCTCACTCCCTTACTAGTCGGATTGTTAGAATACGTCTAAACTGAATACAATTCAGATTGATTGTATATACGTCTTCATATCTGTTTACCTAGCTGATTGTTTTGTAGTTATTTGTGTGAGGGTTGTTTTATTTGCTGTTAATTATTGTTTAGTCTTTATTGATTACTGATATGCCTGTGAATATTTCTTCAACTGTTGAGAAGTGTAGGGCTAGTTCGCTGCTCCAATTTTTCAGCCCTCATGCCATGATTACGTTGTTGCACTCCATTTTTCATTCTATCGGTAATAATTTTATTTTTTTGCATTCTACCTTTTTTGGAAGAAAGCATATAAGTTGTTAATACATTTTTGTTTCTATAATACTGTCGCATTCTAATTAATATTCAAAGGTAAATGCGATAAAAACTAGAAAAAGTATTTTAACTAATTTCTTCAGTTTTTAATTATGTATTGCACGTTCCTCACATTATTTTGTTACCATCATAGCAAACAAGATATAATACATTTTATAAAACGATTATTGGATTGAATTTCTCAATTGCTAAGATGCGCTCCTTTGTTTCGTATTTCATTGAATGTATTTTCAGCCAATATTGCTAGGTTTGAAATGAAATTTGACTCGACCACAGGCCGTTGCAACTAGTTCCCAATCCCTGACCTGAGAGGCGCACTAGTTTAGATTTTCATGTTTAAATGTAAACGACGTTAGTAGTGTACGTTGTAGGAATTACTCTAATTGGTGCTTTAAATGAACCTCATTAATTTGCCTTGTAAATTATTTGGCTTATTTAACGTAAGGAATATTACAGTGAAACTGACCACTCGAATCCTTACATCATTAAGTTGACTATTGAAAATAGTTCCTGATTTTCAACCCGGAGTGTCTTGAACTTTTGCTCGTACATAATCTTAAGAATCGTGTACCATTCTATAAACTAATGATATGTCTTCGCTTCAGAACTCCAGCTGATTTCCGAACTGTTAATATTTCAGCCAGCTGTACCAATATTAAAGTTAATAAGAGCTACTTCCCTGAAACTGCAACCACTCACTGCTATTTCTATGATCTCGTAAATTCAGGTTTCGTTTGTGTAAAATATTATTTGAAATTTTTGATACCATTCTTTGGACGTTTCAATTTATCAATTGGCTCATGCATCAGCAGTTTTGCAGTTTTTTTTCGGTAAAGTGAGAGTAATTTAGCCGGCTAAGCGCTGCAAGACTTGCATAACGAATAGGCCTTTGTCCTCTAATGCCTTCTGAACTTGCCAAGAGGATATAGCTAGTAGGATACGAGTAGGTTCAGTAGCATGTAGAATGCGCAGGATATTGAGTTAGCGGATGCCATTATATTTCATACAATGGAATAATTGGTCTTGATTTGTGTATTCCTAGAATATGGCACTTTAATTCGATTTGAATCGTAGACTAAATTCTAGAAAATACGCACTTTGTATAAGTAAATTATTCTTACATTTTTCTGCATAATTTTTAGCTAACTTAAAAGTACCAGAAAAAAATGTGTATTCAGCGAGCTTGAAAAAAATTGTCTGGCAATAGAATTAAAATAATCCCTCCCAGAAATAAACTGAGATTTTCTTGCAATAGGATCAGAGATCGATGTTTAATAAATCTATATTGATCTTAATCAATTGGTGAATCAATAAGACCAGATGTTACACGACATGCATTTCTCTTTAAGCCGCTTTATTCAGTAATGCGGCTAACTTATTTTCCGCTGCACCAGCTCGACTGAAGCACGACGCCTTGTAAATAATTTGAGTACATTTCTTAGAATTTACTTTCATCAATATTGTACAGCCATCATTCGCAATTACGGTCAAGCAAGGCGTTCACGCAAGTTTTGGTTTTTCTTCGGTTTTTGCAACTTATCTGCTACCGAAATTGTACTCCTTACGGCTTTGCTCACAATTCTTACCATTTTGAAACGTGACTATGGGTGGGCAATAATTTTCCTTATTTTTCATTAAGTGACTTCCTCTTGTCTTCATAACGGCATTCTCTACTTTAATGCGCAGATAACAGTCCGCAAGTGATATTTTTGTTTTCCTAGTTTTCTGTTATCGCTAAGTTCCGCCCACGTGAATTGCTCAGCAGCAAACCCTGTGATTAAAAATTTTCGCCTTGTTTGCCCTGTTTTTATTATTTCAAGATTTCATTTCATGGCTAGCATATCCAAAATACTTACAAATAACACATTTTTACGTCAGTCATGATCTGCGTGGTCAAGAGAAACAGACTTTTGACTGTCATCATGAAACTATCTTCTTGCATGTTCGGTCTCTCATCGGCTATTAATGAATAGCGTTAATTGTTACCGTACCACCATTGTGTTTTAAACATGATCTCAGCGGTACATGCTTTCTGGAAATTCCTATCCATGAATTTATCTTTTTCAAGTACTCAGCCTTGCATCTTTAGTGATAATTTGGTTAGAAATATTTTAAAACGTTGGTACTTGCAGAGTAATTTTTGTTATTTGTTGTTTCTCTGTTTAAAATAATAAATAAAAACGCATTTTTCCCGTGTCTTATTTTCACAAATAAACTCGAAGTTACATGGTATTATTACCAGACTATTTGTACCTTACATGGTATTACAAGACAATATGTAGGTTACAATGTTTTACCATAGCAATACGGAAACATATGAGATCACTAATTCCCAGATATCATCAATTATTTTATCATGTCGCATTACTGCATGTAATGAAATGCGTTGTATGTAAAAAAAAAAGTAAAATCAACCAATCACCGCCATACGGTATAATGTTATCCACCTAAATACAGTACTTTGAAATACAGTACAGTAACTTAATAGAATGAATAGTGAACAGCGGCAATTTATAACTTTTCGAATTTCCCCATCTTCACTCTAACACTGAAAATCAGCTTGCAATAAAAAGTTCACTATTGCTATGCTAAACAAACGCAAGACTAAAAAAATAGCTAAATATGAGCAGACATTGTGTGATACCGTAATCTCACAACCACTAAGCCTACATTATTTGGTCAAGAAGTAAAAGCGTCAAACACATAATCCATTTTCTAACGGACTCGTCACAAAATACTTGTAAATGAATGTTGGGCACGGATGGGTCAACTGGCGAGAGCTAAACTAGTATTTTTAGCAAGGCACATCGTTTGTATGCAGTTCTAACTTCACCATCTGTCGTGTCCAGAGACAACAGCTCCGCGCCCTTGCACTTCTAAAGATCTTCAACTTCCTGGTTAATGTCTTGCAAATTTTCTTGGTCTTCATCTGTTGCTGCCTGATGAAGGAATTACTATCAGAATATTTTTTAAATAATTGACAGAAATCCACACATTTAGAATACCTGCAATGGCACATTTTGTACAGAAAAGCCTCAACATTTTCACTAGATTTAAAAAAAATTATTTGAACAGAAACATTTTGAATACAAAGTTTATAGCATTGCTCACTAATCAGTTGTGTTACCATAAAACGAACCTGTACAAGCTCAGCAAGTTTCCTGGCCTCGCCAAGCATTTCTTCGAGCATGGCATTGTCACTCTGCAGCACCTCAATGCGGGAACTCATGCTGTGCACTTGCAGCTGCAGTTCAGAGTTACGTGCGTGTAGTTGCTTATTCTCAGCCAATGACACAGCAAGTGCAGCCTTGCGCTCGGACGCTACCATCTCCCAGTATCGCTCGCCAGGTTTTGCTGCGGTCATGATCGATGGTCAATGATGTATTTCCAAAGAAAATGCTACCAAGTTACAATACTGAAAATTAGAAAGAATCATCATGAAAGGTCACCCAGCTACCAAGAACTTCAGTATTCATGATACACTAGTAACACTACCTAAATTTTAAAGTGGAGCAACTTTATATCTGGATCCCTAACAAATCAAAACTACCTGTTGTTGTGTTCAATTTTTATTTTTTAATATTTATATGAGCATTTAGTAACTTTAATTGTGTATGCATATAACTAACAGGTATGCATATAATTTATTACATCAATTCCTATCGCGGGTGACCCACCACTAGTGAGCATATCCAACACATCCTGTGCTGATTGCTTGGATGGTCCAGATGAAGTTTTGGTAGCATCACCACAGCACAAGTTGTCAGTCTGCACGCCACAGTCAACTGTGCTGCTCACTTTAGAGCGCTTGGATGCTGGAGCTTGGTCTTCATAAATAATGTCACGAGATAATGCTGGCATTGGGTTGGTATTCTCATCACTGAAATGAAAAATAAATTGTTAGAAATGTTATAATTAAATAAAATGTTTTATTTATAAATTATATTTATTCTTTATCTCCTTTTTATGGGATAAATATATTGGCACAGCACAATTGACAATTATACATAGCAACAAATGATTTATTTTGAGACCATAATATGCTGTATCAATTGATGCTGCACGATACTGCCATATCTAAATGCTGTTTTATTGGAGAATGCAATTTGTTAACTGTTTTTATCCTTAGAAATAAATCATTTTCTAGATAAAGAGACAGGAATTATGATGCATAGCACTTAATTAGATTAGCTTAATTTAACTAACAAAAGTATCATCCATCAATAGCCCTAATGAATAACTTGAGTAAAATTAGATTTTCAAACAGTTGTAAATAATTTCATAAACATGGTAAAATAAAACAAGCTGCTGTACAAAAAAAAATTATGAAATTCTTTAACATTTCTTACTTTTTACGCTTCCTGGAGATGGAAGAGTGGACCGAGTTCTGCATGACATTTACATTTTGAATACTAAGCTTAGAAACTTGAGCAGGTGCCAAGACACCACGCTTCTTCTGTTCAACCATTTTTAACAACTGTAAACTAATCAATGGAACAAACGAAAACAAAAAATCAAATATCCATGATAAAATAAAATAAATCTTCAACAATTAGAATTTAGAATGCTGTAATAATAATGAAATTAAATCTCTAATTACTAGTAGGTTAGTCTGGCATTGCACATGATTGCTAATTGCAGCAATTTTGCATTTTAATATTGCCAATTCTATTAATATGAATGAAACTTGTTGAAGAAAGACCTTCACAAACTCATATTTTTGATTCAAAATAGAATCTCATTAGACTCCCATAACAAAATACAAGGAGTGAAGTTTTTTCTTCTAAACTAACCTTATGAATATCAGTCAAAAAATTAAAATTCAATTTTTGCTCTAATCCTCCCATTCCCATTCTGCAATGCCTTACTAAAATAATTTTATTATGTTACTATTTTGTCACCATAAATAAAATCTCAGGTCCAGGTGATAGAGGCAAGAAGGCAACTGTGGAACACCTGATGATGGAGGGTGAAGCATATTAGAAAAACATGAAATTATGAGAGTGAAACTAGATGAGAGGAGTGAGGCTGATGGTGTGATGCATGAGAGAATAGGAGATGAATGGATTGCAATGATAATGGATCTGTGCCCAGGAGTGACTGATGCCTTGACATAGTGAAAAGCTACTGTATATGTGGAGTGCATGGAGAATGAGGGAGAGGGCGAGGTTGGTGAGAATGGAGGATGGAAGGGTTTAAAGAAACGAGCAATAATACGTAATGTATTAATAGTCAAAGTAACAAAACAAAGAGAAACCTTCAATTTTAGTGGCTGAGAGCTCCCAATATCTAATACAAATTTCAAAAACTTCAGTGTAATAAATGAGACACTGCAATTATAGACCAAATGACATTTTTCTTGAACTTTATTTCCTCCTTTTTATCTTGCACTTAACACAACCTTTTACATCCTTCTAGCCTCTGCTCTAATATTGCTGTTAAGTCCTACCTGACCTAGATTTGCTATCCTCCTACCAACAGAAATGAATGTGTGACGTTTGGCAGATAGCTGATATAAAGGCCTGACTACTTAGATTTTTTTTTTTTTCAGGGTGAACACACCCAAAAATGAAAGCTCAAATCCTAACCTAAATTATAACATCTTGCTATGATAAACAAGATACGGTATTATAATTTAAAAATTGAAACTGATAAAAAAACAGGTTTTGAAACTAAGAAAAAAAATTAATTTAGAATATAAAAAGTACAATTGGGCTTAAACCTGCAAGTCTCTCAATCAGATTTCAGAAGTGTGCCTGTTAATTTATTATACCTTCAAAATTCATCCTGATTGGGTAACTGCTACCAGCAGTATCCTTAGGTAAATGGATCCAATTCATTCTCCAGCATAGTGGCAAACAACAGACTTCTTAGTTGTCATTCCTTTTGAGTCTTTTGAATAGATCAATAAAGAAACATGGATACCAACATCATTTGATTTTCAGACAAAAGACATTTCAGAAAATCTTGAAGCAGAACTGGGAGCATAATATAAAAAATTCACAAATTTGTATTACCGTACCATTAGGCTGAGCATTAGTCCAGGATTGGAATTTTCTTACTTCTCATGGAAATCTAGCACCAAGCAGCCCTAAAGTGAAAAATTTCCAATGCATATTTTATCTTGCTGCCTAATTGTGCTTTTTTATAACAAATAGACAGAAGGAAATTCATCTAGCAGGAATCTTGCAGTTCCAGCTCAAGTTGTGGCTTGAAATGTAGATTTTTCCCACTATAGCATCAGCCAATCAATAAAGGCTTTCTAAGACCTGAAAAGCCTTGAAAATTCAATCAAAACCTCCCAATCCAAGATGAAAAATTTTTGGCTACATGTTCTCAGGGGGCTATGTGGAGTTTGTGAACTTAAGAGTTTTAAGAGTATGGCACCTGGGCACCAGGACTAGCAACTAAAGAAATGAGCTTGTTAGTAAGCATCTTTTTGGCCCATAGACATACGTTTCAAAATAATTCAACTGAATTGCTATCTAATTATTAAATCATGCACTTAGATTATAAATTTGATAGGATAGAATTTATCTACCATCAGTAACACTTAATTTGCCACTAAGCAGCTACTGCACTTAAATTGCCGTTTGTCAACATGAATTTTATAATAGGTCCTTGCTAGAATTTAAATTTCTAGCAATCATTTGCCATATTATAACTAAGAAACTTTTTCAATCACATAATATAGAAAAGCTCAGTTTTGTCAATAAATAGATTGTTCCTTGCAATTTAACTACTGAGCAGAGTGGGTGAACATCTGAACTTCTCAACATGGTAGAATTCTAGAAAATGGTTGGTCATTCAGATCCACCAGGACAGTGGGCTGGCAGCAGCAGAACAAGCATGTTGCTGCTGCTGACTGCCTGCTTATATTGAAGCACACAGCTGTCCCACTCCTATTTGAGCAAACATGCTCTTTTTTTGGCCAACATGCTCTTCAATTTCCAGGGTACATGGTCACTAAGGAGGCCAGTCAGGCCACCATGGCACCATCCACCATGCTTCTGAAGATCCTTGGCTGCTTGGCAATGGCAACACATCACTGTCAAATTTCAGTATATCTTGCCAACACATTGCTCTTTAAATTCATCTTCACGAGCTTTTGGCAAAAAATAGTAAAGGTTTATGTAGTTTTGTTCTGGCAATAAATTCTTTAGGATAAACACACCATATTCCGACACTTTAAGGATGTAGCAAGAAATGAATGGCTATAAAAAGATCACCGTATGCGTGACTCAAGTTCTGATTGGTTTACGTCACTTACAAAACACCCCACTATGCGCCAGCAATGATGAAACATCACAAACTGTTGCCATATTTATTTAAAAGCCTTTAGAATTCAAATCTACAAAATCGCTGAATTCCGATGCTGTGTGTGACTAAATTTGGCATATTGTGAGACTAATTCTGACAACGCTTAAAAACCGTAATTTCTAATTCCAACGCCCTGTGTGAGCTGTATCAGAAGCTGTGTGGTGCAGTGGTGAGAGACTCTGTCTCTCGCACCCAGCGCCCAGGTTCGAGTCCCACTGCGGACAAGTTCTACCGGGAAGCTCAGCTCATGGTCAACTCAGCCATTCATCCAACTCTGGTTGATAAATGAGTACTGTACCTGGCTTGTCCAGTGTGTTGTGTAATGCAACCAAATGGTTCTAGCGGGTCAGCAAGCCAGTGATGGTTGTGGAACTACCAGTGGCACCGAGTGCCCGGAAAAAATGATCGATAACCCCCCCTCCCTAGTCGCCACTGCCAGGATGGGCTATTACAACAACAACAACAGCTGTATTGGAATACGACGCAGCTTGGAAGGAGCTGTGTGTGTCTAATTCCAAGCTGTCTCGGAATAAGTTTTTATGTGTCTAAAACTGCCTCTTAACTTAATCATCTAATAATTTATTTACAACTTAAAATCAGCAAATACAAGTATACTTAAAGATAAAGGATTCCTAATATATTCACAGATTTATTGAAAAGTCTCAAACCATAATATTCTTTCTACACAAACAGTTTATCACTATTTGGTAGAGCAAAGTCAACTATCAACTTTGACATGTGTTTCGATGTTCTCACTGGGTGACGTGGAATTTCGCTCTGAGGATCTTAACATTTTCCTGCCAGACCTAGTGTTTTGCGGAAATATTGTGCGCAATAGTATGACGTCACTGTTTCAACCATCTACGCATATGTGGAACTAAGACAAAGCTTAATATCAAGAAAAAAGTTGAGAAGTGTTGGAATTACCCACAATGTTGGAATTTGGTGCATTTACGTTAATAATGGCAACACCTTAGGCCTGACAACTTAACCCATTAATGACGAGAGTTATTTACTGAATTTTTTGGGGGTTCCTTGTGAGAATATTATCATTTGTGATGGTAATAAACAAAGAATATGCTCATATATTTATTTTTCGTTGTATGTGAAAAAATATAGCTTGGTTCCATATGGAACCGCTCGGCATTAACGTAACGTTTCTTCAAACAACACTTTTTCCGATAGTAAATCAAGCAAGGTTGTTCATAATGGATAATACGTAATATACGTATTCATAATGGACAATACTGATGATGAACCAATCATGGCAGAATACAATTTAATTTTTAGCATTGAATGTTTCCATTCATCAAAATGAACAGGAAGGTTGACCATTTTGCGAATGTTTGTGGGTGCGTTGTCAACATTGTTTACGAAGCACTGCATTTGCAGTGCTTCTGAAGTCTCTTTGTTAGGCGATGTTGTCGATTTTTGTATTGCACTTCATCAAGGATCGAAGTAGAAGGGTGCACTATAGACACTGATTGTTTTATTTAGGGTCTCCTGCATTATTGCATTTTCTAACCAATCTTTTTGAAAATTTATTGCAATAGCCATTCTTTTTTAAAAAAAGTGACTCGGGATGAACAATCGTATAGTGTTCAACGTACCTACTTCCAAATATTTCAACTTTCGGGATATATATTCCTAACAGCTCTAAATATAATGGTTCGCTAACAAATAACAGAAAAACTTAGATCTAAGATCTAAATAAATAATTTCAAGGTACAAACAAGTTTTTGAAATACAATGCATAACTATATCACATAGTAATCAACTAGGAAAATGAGATGACCGGAATGCTTACACTACTGCCGAGCGGTTCCATTTGGAACCAGACAAAATATTTCATGATCTAAAAGACTTTAGAAACATTATATCACGTAATGCCATATACAGGATTAAAAGTACTCTCTTTATCGATAAAATTCTGCATTTAACTTATAAATAATATATTCTTAGAACGAACTACTTACCTTTCTCTGCAATGATGTCAAGCCCTTCTGTCCGACACCCTGTACTTACAATCTTTTAATGTTAACTGAGCAGAGAGTAGTCGGCGCAGCAGAACCAAACGTTGCCAGAACATGGACAAGATGTGTATCAAACCTACGCATCCACTAGTATATTGATTTGACCATACAATTTAATTATGAATCCATTTTTTTCTGCTGGTTCCAAATGGAACCGCTCGGCATTAATGG